TAAAATTAAGTTACTTTTATATTGTAAAATTAGTCAAATTAATTATTGCTATTAAATATGTAATAAATTTTGAATAAATATAAACTCCTTTACAAATTACAACCATGAAATATACTTGCATAATGTTGCTCACATGATTATTGACTTCACAATAACGTCATAATTTTAATTCAATTAAAAATTATAAAATCCCCTTCGGAAAAAAAATAAATAAATAAAATAAACACTACAACAAAAACTTTTCCTCTTATACTCTTTGTTTTTTTTTTTTTTCTTTACACGACTTTTCCTTATCATGGTCCAAAGAAGATCGAGCAAAGACAAATGCAATTATAACATTTATTTTTCTTTAACTTCGTAAAGTAAATTCATACTCACAGTATTTGAAATAAATAACAATTTATTAAGTTACGTATAAATTAAAAACAATATTTATATTTCTTTTGTTTTTTTTTTCATCTTTAGTTTCTAAAAGTTTTTCAAATTTTCATATTTACCATTACCAAGTATTTAATTATCGTTGTCAATCCAATTTAAATATTTGAACCAAATAGATCCTAATTTATTTAACTTTATCTGGTAGATTTAGACTTTACAAAAATTAAGATTGAGGCTAATTAAATTAAAAATAATTTCAGTCAAGTCACGTTAATCGAATCAAACACATAAAATAAAACGGAAGAGGTATCTATTATATATTATCTAAACAATAATAAAATACACCATATATCATCCCTGATAACGACGACTATATATAGTATCCATCATTTATTATTACCTAAACAAATATATCATCATCAGTGTGATTATATTATTTATTATCTAAATATATACATATACATACGTGTCCAAAATATATCCCATTTCTCCGACTTAGCTTTCATCACAAATACATGCATGCATGGATGCATTCAATATTGATGAGCTGAGGAAGCTTCCGAATTCCACCGTCTTCTTCTCTTCGATCTGCCAAATATGATCAGATCAGCAACTGGATATGATGGACAGATGCCAATTAGAGGAAAATTACACCTCCACACTCCACACAATGCACTCAGCCTCCTGCCACGTATATTGTATATATGTTCTGGAAACTTTGGTCTGGTCATGTTTGATAAATGATTGTTAGTTAATAGCGGTTAGTTGTCAGCTGATTGGATTAATTAGAGGTATAACTAGTTGATAACATTAATTGGTTGTAGAAAGATGTTTGGTAAATTAATTGTTATCTGATAGTTGTTTGGTGTAATTTTCTTTCTCAAAAAGTTAATTGAAAAAGTTGGTTTGAGCAGCTTTTTGAATTTTAGCATTTTGGGGTTACAAAAACTGATTAATCAAACACTTATATTGGCCCTGTTTGGTAAATGGCTGTTAGCTGTTAGCTGATTCAGTTAATTAGATGGTATAACTAGTTGATAACATTAGCTAATTGTAGAATGGTATTTGGTAAATTAGCTGTTAACTGATAGCTGATAGTTGTTTGTTATAATTTCTTTTCTCAAAAAGCTAATTGAAAAAGTTGCTTTGAGTAGCTTTTTGAATTATTTTAGCATTGTGGAGTACAAAAAGCTAATTAACCAAACACTTATATTGATTTTTAAATCAAGTCAAACAACTAATAGTGGTCAAATAAGTCAAAATTGACCTATAGACTAACTATTTTACTAAATACGATCATTAACTTTTTAACAAAATCAAAAAATTAATAGTGGTCAAATAAATCAAAATAAACCTATAGAGACTAATTATTTTATCAACAAGGCATTTATATTGTAAGCATGAACGGTCGTCGTTTAAAGAAATTAAAAATAAACGATAATGAACCTAGTCCAACTATGACATGCGCTATATATATACAACCATCAGTTACGTGAACGTCTAGGGTTTGTTTGGTTCTAATTATATAATTTAATTTTAATAATTTAAGCATTGTAATATCATGCATGTCTTTTAATGTATTTAAATTAAATCATATATGTTGTGTGGTATTTTTCAGTACAGTAATAACATTACTTTCACATTACATCTCTTTGACACATTCTAACTAATTATTGTTTTCATACATCTTAGCAGGGACAGATTCAGTTTGTCAGTAGGGACGAAAAATTAAAAACTAAAGAGATATTTTGAAAAAAAAAAAAAAAACTTAGAGGTCGAGTCATAAATATTGTTAATTATAATGAAAAATTAAAATACATCAAAATAATGAGATAAAATTTATTCAAAACAAAATATGAAATCTAATTAATTAGATAAAATAATTAGAATAGAAAACATATTATAATAAAACACTCATATCAATATTAATATTAAAAATGAGAAAAAACACAATATTACAAATAAAATTCCACAAAATATGAAATATAATTAATTAGATAAAATAGTTCGAATAGAAAACATATTATAAATCATTAATATCATTATAACTCATCTTTTAATTAAATTTATGTAAATTTAATATTTATAAGTTAACTATGTATATACAAAGGACTATACACATTGTGACTCGGCCACTGCATCTTAAGTTATCTTAAATAACTTTTACAAAACTTTAAACTTTTGTCGTTGGATAAATAATGTGTGTCTATATATAAAAATTAAAAGAGGAGAGAATCATCTGAGAACTTTGTAATATTAGAACTCAAAGGGTTGACTTACTCTTCTAGGGTTGTTTGAGTGTGCGGATGTAACATTGACTAAATTTATTTATACACAATGAATATTTTTTTATAGTTCTAATTCTTCTTTTCTATCCAAAAGTAGTACAAGGTTTAAGACGATATGATTATAAATTGGAAATGTAGTGCATTATTGGCGTGCATCACATGTGAAAAAAAAAAATACTATACAATAAATAACAATTAATTAAGAATCAAATGTAGTAATAATTTAATAATCGTGAGACTAAAAATAAAAATAATTCTCTAATTTGAATTGTTGTGGTAGTCATTTCTAAATTCTAAACACTATTGTAATCATCTTCAATATAATTACACAATCCAAATCAAATTAGTGCCCAAATTTCATAACTCTTACTAAAGTTGTCAACATAATTTAGGACAAAAAGATTAAACTACAAATAGAGGTCCGCTCCTCCACTTCACATCAACCGACGTCGCTTTTGCATCACTCGTCAGCTCGACTACACTGCTAATTTCCAACGGTGAATTTAATATTAAAAAATAAAATTTTATTAAAATTTACATCGTATTTTTTCTTATGCACATTTTTTAAAACGTTTACGCTCTTAATAATTGACTATTTCTACCTTTTCTTTTATTTGCATGCTACTGGCTCTATTACATTGTAGTGTCTGTTCATATATTTTCTCAACCTACTGAAACACAAAAAGTCAATAATGACTCTCCACCGAGAGTCAAACTCACAACCTTTCAAATAAAAGTCCAACTCAAGTACCATTAAATCACATAATCTGATGATTATTTCTACCTAAATTCATGAAAAAAAGTTAACTATGAATGAATGTGAACACAAAGATTGACCCAATACCTCCTTTTTTTTTCTTTTTTTTTTTTTTTTTGGATTAGAACGAATGGGTTTCGCCAACTAAGCTAATTTCAAACACTCAAAATTTAAGTTGAATTATATTCAACTATTCAATTTTTTTTTTTATTTGTTTGGTAAGATTTTCTATTGTTACGTTATTTTTTTATGTGACAAAATAAATAATGACCATGAATGAAATTGTAGAGTAGAAATTAATTGGCTTGCATGTTAGCATAATGAACTGTCAAAATCAAGATAACCTATCTTCCACTTCTAGCCAATTATATTCGTAAAAATTAAATTTAAAATAAATGGAAACAAAACCTTATCCTGGAAAGATATCACAAGATAACCTTCATTGTTGTTATTCAAAAAAGAAAAAATAATAATAATTAACAAAATAAGCTCATTTTCTTTTATTGATGTGACATTATAAAAAAATAAAAAGAAAGATCATTATTTTCATTAATTACTTATAAATTGATCGATCTTATCATGAGTTAATAAATTAAAAAGTTCGCGTTATAATTAATTTTTTTAAATGTAATATAACACTAAAACATCAATGAGTGAATGTTAGAAAGTACGGAGTAATTTTAACAAGAAAAATGCCTCCTATAATAAAATAAATCATTTAAATAATGTAATATTTCTTATATTAAAATTTTTACACACAATTTAATATCGACTCGTTAACTTGTAATGCAACTAGTTAATTCAATTCACAATAGCTAATGAATATAAAAATAATATATACTCCATATATAGTGCACATATTAGCATATATATATATATATATATATATATATATATATATATATATATATATATATATATAAAATTGCATTCAGGTGCAAACTGTCCATCTAGGGGAGAACTGAGAATCATTCAGAGCGCGTCACGCGTCCAGATATAGGTATACCATAGCTATAACTAGGTGTACCTAGGTACATGAATGTTTGCGGGTGGTTTTCAGGGTACTAACTACCCGCTGAACTCCTCCGCAAGAACAAATTAAAAGCGATGCCAAACAGAACGATCTCAGATCAATGAATGTTAACAAGGTAAAATTACATGCACTTGTAGGTGAAAGTATGTGCACTTGTAAGTGATTTTACTTGTAAAGGTGCACCAACTATTTGCACATATAACAAATTTACATGCACCAAAGGACACGTGACGCGCGCTGGATGGTTCTCAGTTCTCTTCTGGGCGGCCGTTCGCATGAGAGTGTGCGCAAGTAAAAGAATGCAACACTTCTTACAAAATATTAATTAAAAATAAATATATTTTTATAATAGTCCTATTTTATGTGATATTAGTAATTCAATTTTTTGTTATTGGTTGGTGGTTTGCAACTTTATGAATGTCCAAAGGAAATTATTAACGTAGGTAGGGGAGAATGGAGCTAATTATACTTTGCCTTCGTATGATGATGCCTTTTTGAAAGTTTTGGTGCACCTTTATTGATATGTCAAGATCATTCTTGATTCCCATAAGCTCATAAAGTAAACAAAATGAAGAAACCATAATGCCAACTAATCATGTTTCAATATTTACAATAATGGTGTCATTGTCACATTATTACCGAAAATGACAAAAACAGAGAAAAGGAAGCGTAACCTCAAATTATACTTTTTTTCCATTAAAAAGTATAATTTTTTATTTTATTTCATTTAAATTTGTATGGTGAAGTATATTGATGGAAATTTTATTAATTATCCTTAATTCTTTTTTGAAGTCCAATTGCTCCAAAAAAAAAAAAGTTTTAACAGTAGCAAATATAGTTCAAATACAAAGAGGGAGGAGTTAATTCTTATTGATGTGTTTCTCTTATGAAATCTGTGATTATAAAATTCTAATTTTAAGTTAACTTAAAAGATGAATATGTTACCATTAAAAAAAAAAGATGAATATGTTAAGCATTAAATTACTTGTTATTTTTATTGTGATAGAAAACAAAATTATATAGGATTAAAATTTCATATAAGATTTTAAAATTATTTACAAATAATTTTACCAAATTCAGTTATATTCAATAATTATGCATATTGCATAACTACATTTACTTTGGATATCAATTTTCATGCAACACGAGTTTTCTAACTAGTTTATCACTTTTATATTGCATTGTGCATTGATTGATGCAACATTGTAGACCATATGAAGTTGGCATTTTAAGTTTATCATAAATATATAAAATTTTAAAGTTTATTTCATTTTGGTTACTCAAATTATAGTCTATAGAGTATTTTTTTTTTTTCATTTTTAATTATCTATTTTCAATTTTTACTTATAGTCCTTGAGTTTAAAAAAACATTATAGGAAAATGACAATTTTAGGTTCTTTTATTGTAACTATGGTGTATATTCAATTTCTTAGTTATTGATCGTGAAGACTTATTCATAAATTTTTAGTTAAGTAACAAATTTTAACCCTTAAAAATTATATAAACCAAAATCAACTTATAAGGACTAAATTTTTACACCTTAAATATAATTGAGAAATTATATCTATACCATAGTCATAAGTTAAGTGACTAAAAAATCACATTTTTCTAAAACTATAATGTTAGTCCAATTCAAAATGCCATCAACCCAATGTGATAAAGTTTTGTAAAATTTCCATAAAATGAGAATATTTCGTATATTTTATAGGTAAGAATGATATATCATATCATTTCATCACAATTTATACGTAGTAATTAAGTACCAAATAGATCCTTGTGCAGCAGTATTCTTCTTTAAATTAATTAAACCTAACTGATCTAACTAATTAAAGTGTCAAAGACCTTGTGGTCAAGCGGCATAAATGTAGTTCTTCCAAATGGAATGTCACATATTTGAACCCTAGTGAGGACATTGACTCACCGCACCCTCCTACTCATCACGGCCCCGGGTATAGGTCGCGCGCTTAGGCTCCATCCATTTCGGGGGTGCTGTCTTAAACGACCAACACCCTTTGTGGGATCTAGGTTGCACCCTGCTCGAATTAAATTTCGAGCGAGGGCTTTGAGAAATCAAAGTTACATGCAGAAACTTAAAGGAATTGACGGAATGGCAAGTCACATGTTGAAACTTAAAGGAATTGACGCGCCCTCCTACTCATCACGGTCCCGGGTATAGGTCGCGCGCTTAAGCGCCATCCATTTCGGGGGTGCTGTCTTAAACGACCAACACCCTTTGTGGGATCTAGGTTGCACCTCGAATTAAATTTTGAGCGAGGGCTTTGAGAAATCGAAGTCACATGCTGAAACTTAAAGGAATTGACGGAAGAGCAAGTCACATGCTGAAACTTGAAAGAATTGATGGAAGGGCACCATCAGGCGTGGAACTTAGGCTAAAACAGGCTGAAACTTAAAGAAATTGACGGAAGGGCATCGGGCACCACCATGAGTGGAACTTATTAGGTCCAGACATGGAGCGCATTGACAGACTGGGAGCTCTTTCAAGATTCTATGGATTGTGACATAGTAAGGGTTGATAGACTGAGAGCTCTTTCAAGATTCTATGGATGGTGGTGCATGACTGTTCTTAGTTGGTAGAGTGATTTGTCTGGTTAATTTCGAGAAGAAAAAACTAATTAAAGTGAAAGAAGCTAATTAACAAATATTAGTTGAAAGATTATTATCCCTCTTGGGGAATTAACAAGGAGCGTCCTGGTTTAATTTTCCTTTTGCTTATCTTAGGGAGACCACATCAGTCAAAAGAGTTGTATACTTTATTATTATCAACCTTGAAAATGCAATGGTTGCTAAAGAAAACGCGTTTGAATGTACTATTAGAGGTAAAAAGAAGAAAAAGTTACTTTAGTGATTGTCTTTAATGGAAATGGTAAGTCTATATAATTCATCTATGTACTAATAGAAAAATGAAAAAGTATCAAAATGACTACCCACTTGCCAATTTTATGTCAATTCTTCAACAATTAGAAGGTATAAACTTGTATAAAAAAAAAATGTTAAGACTTTAAAAATTTTATCACCCGGCCTTAGAGCAACTTCAGTGGTTGAACTTTTTTATAATTTTATTTATTTATTTATTTATTTTTTGGTGTAGTTCCTTTGTCAAGTTAGATTGTTGCAAACTATATATATATATATATATATATATATATATATATATATATATATATATATATATATAAAGTGGTCGCCCACGCGGCCACGCCAGTTGGGTGCGACCACTTTGAAATGCTACTGCGCGTGCGAAATGCACACACCCGTTGGGCAATATAGATGTCTCCCACCTATATGCATGAGCTATGATCATTTTTCTTTAAACGCAAAAACTAAATTCTTGTAAAAGAATCTGTTTTTATTTTTATTTTTTAATTTTTCGTCACCTCACACTCTCACAATTTCTTTCTTCCAACATAGCATAAAAAATCTCAAAAAATTACTGTTGAAAATGCTCTTAAGATTAAGTTGTTCTAATTATTTTGAAATTTATTGGTTGGTTGAAAAAGAATTGCAAAATTCAACATATGACTGGGGGCTGCCCACACATTGAGTTGGGCTTGACAAATAGGTTCTAAGTTCCAATTGGTTTATAGAGTAGTGCCCAAGAAGATTGAAAAATAAACATAATTGTGTGAAACCCAGTTTGGTCTGTCTGGGTTTGCAAAAGTCTACCTGGGTCAATAATAATATAATTTAATAGGCCGGAGTCCAATTCTCATTTTTGCATTGGAAAAAAAGTTACTGATTAAAATTTGTGTCAAGTATTTTATTTATTTTTTTTGAAAACAAGTATTTTATTTATTTAATAATGTTGTATTAACACAATAACATGTGTAACAATTTTACTTTAGAGTGATGAATCTCCAATCCCAAAATCCCCTCACATCCTGGTTCGACAGAACATTTTTTTTTTTAATTTCTTCTATAAATAATACCAGTAGTTTTTTGTGGTATCCACCAAATAGGAAAAATGGAAGCAACTGTCGCGCAGCTATGTGTGGGCTGCACTGTCGTTTAAATCTTCTTTTCATTTTTTTTCCCTCTTCTCTCTTTCTCTATCTCCTAGTTCGTTAGCCTGCAAAAAAAACTAATACTATTGAGGTTGCTCTTAAAATTTCATTTACAAGTCTTTGCTGATTCTGATTGGGCAGCTTGTACAGATACAAGAAGATCGATTTCAGAATTTTGCATTTTGCTTAGGAGCTCTCATATTTCTTGGAAGTCTAGCTAACAAATAGCCAATTGTCTCTAGGTCTTCATCTTATGCTGAGTATAGAGCATTGACTATAGAACTACAATGGCTTTGCTATTTGCTAAATGATTTGCAAGTCCATCTTTCGTTGTAAACTTGCTACAAGTTAAAATACACACACACACACATATATATATATTGAGTACTATTGACTTTGGTACAATATAGTATTTGTCTATACATACTTTCTTAACATATTGAAGTACAAAGAGTCAATGTCTCTATTGGGATTCAAACCTGTAATATAATTTCCGATTTGAGAGAATTACACTTATGCCGTTTAACCAAAAAGTACCTATGTTTTGGTAAATAAAATTTTAAAATACCTTAACTCGAGAAAAAAAAAAAAAAATTGGCTTTGAGATATTCTGATGCTTTCTATTCAAAGTATATAATTTTCTAAAAGTAGTATTTGATGTATGGTGGTATAGCATAGCAGAACACAATAATAATGTGCATTATTGCATTAACTGTACACCATTCTGCACAACTTCACTGCATGTCAGCACTGCAAATAATCTCCACAAGGTTTTTCATTTTGTGTACCAGTAGTCAGTAGACATTTTTGTTTTTATGTGTTTAGCATTCTGCTTGAATTTTAACATTAGAATTAGCCATAGGTTAAGCTAAATATTGTGTGTGTTTAGTTTGCAGTTTTTTTGTTAGGCCACTTTGAGTGTGTATTCACTTGAACAACAAACATAAAAATTATGCAGAGGCTATTGAATAATCTACACGAGTGGGAACCGTATTTGAAGGACAAGTACAAGGAGGAGACAAGACGACGAGAACTGAATGTATTGTATTGATTAAACATAGTTACAAACATAGATACTGGAATATATAATATATATATATATATATATATATATATATATATATATATATATAGTAATTAAGAGGAGTTTAGGATAGGAAGTCATAATCCAACTCAAATACATATAATCTTAATACTTCCTCTCAAGCACAGGATAAGCTAGTAACCTGTAGCTTGTCTCTAAGAAAAGAAAATCTAGGGCCAGGTATAGCTTTTAGTAAAGATGTCAGCAAGTTGATCTTTGAGTGAAATAAAGTTGATTTGAAAATCTCCAGAAGCAACTCTATCTCTAATAAAGTGATAATCAATCTCTACGTGCTTGGTGCAAGCATGAAAAATAGAATTTGCGCACATATATGTAGCACCAAGATTATCACACCATAACTTAGGAACAGAAATACTTAGCACATTGATCTCACGTAACAACGGAAGAATCCATATTACTTTAGCACAAACATCTGCTAGAGCTTTGTATTCTGCCTCAATAGAAGATCTAGCAACAGTTCTTTGTTTCTTACATACCCAAGACACAAGATTAGATCCGAGAAACACAGCATAACCACTATTAGATTTACGGTCTTCAGGACAACCAGCCCAATCAGAATCAGAAAAAGCATGAAGTTCTCTTGACACTAACTTTCTTATACGCAAACCGAAATCAATTGTCCCTTTAGCGTACCTCAATACACGTTTTAGTTGCTCCCAATGTGATGTTATAGGAGCATGCATGTGTTGACAAAGCTTATTTACTGCAAAAGACAGGTCAGGTCTAGTAATCGTGAGGTACTGCAGCGCCCTAGCCAGACTCCTGCACTGCGTATGATCATCATACAAATCTGAATTGAAAGGGACAGATTTTGAGACAGGAATGAGAGTAACTAGAGGCTTGCATTCTGCCATACTTGCTCGTTTCAGAATATCTGTCATGTACCTTTTATGAGAAATCATAATTCTACCATCACATTTAATCGTTTCAATCCCAAAAAAGAAACCAGGTTCACCCAGATCCCTGATCTTAAATGCAGTATATAGTTTAGACATCAAATTATTCACCAAACTTTGATCACTCCCCATCACAAGTATATCATCAACATAAACCAATAAATACACATATGCAAAGTCCTGCGAATAATGAAATAGAGAGACATCTGTCTTTGATGCCTTAAACACAACTGATAGTAAAAACATGTGTAGGCGATTAAACCAAGCCCTAGGAGCTGTTTCAATCCATACAAAGAACGTTTTACCAGACAAACATGATTAAGTACTTGATCATCAATATATCCAAGGGGTTGACGCATGTAACCAGTTTCAGTATTGATCAAAACATAGTTACAAAGGTACAAGATACTGGAATATATATAGTAAAGAAATCACATGAAGACTACGATATGGAGTCATAATCCAACTCAAATATATATAGAATCATAATAAAGACAACATATGCCCTTGGAAAAAGTATCCAAATTTTAAGACTCGGACTATAGCTTCTCGAGAAGTTGGCTTGGTAGGCCGATAACCAATCGTTATGCTATGGACACGTGCCCAGCATCCATGCTGGACACGGGTAACAGTGCCGTTAGTGGCACTGTTATCTTTCACTTTTTTTTTTTTTTTTGTTTTTTAAATTTCAGACCGCTTCGTTATAGGAGTATATGTTCATAATTTTATTACTATATGTTCATAATTGTAAGTTCATAATGTCAGAGCTCTATGTTCATAATTTCATAATTGTACATTCATACTTCCATAATTGTACATTCATAATTCCGTAACTGTACATTCATAATTCAATAACTGTAACTTCATAATTTTCGAAGCTCTGTGTTCACAATTTTAGAGCTCTATGTTCATAATTTTATCACTATATGTTCATATTGTAAGTTCATAATGTCAGAGCTCTGTGTTCATAATTCTATAACTGTACATTCATAATTGCATAACTGTACATTCATAATTCCGTAACTGTACATTCATAATTCAATAATTGTAAAATCATAATTTTCGAAGCTCCATGTTCACAATTTTAGAGCTCTATGTTCATAATTTTATTACTATATGTTCATAATTGTAAGTTCATAATGTCAGAGCTCTGTGTTCATAATTTTATAACTTACATTCATAATTCCATAACTGTGCATTCATAATTCCATAACTGTACATTCATAATCCCATAACTGTACATTCATAATGGCACAAACGAATAACGCCGTTAACGCCGAGACAAAATCAATTTTTTTTTTTTAACTAGAATGACGCGTTTTACTTAAAAACGACGTCGTTTTAGACTCGTGTCCACAATGCATTGTGGACACGGGTCTAGGGCATAATTTGCGGCCGGTAACTATGCTATGCACATAATTTCGCTACGTGTATAAATTAAATGGGATTTTTGAAAAAGTGACCATTTGCCTTCAACTTTGATCTCTTGTCTCTATTTTCTAATGATATGAGTTGAGTTGGCTATGTTTTTCTCATCTCCACAGTTTTACAGTAATGATAATTTTATTGAATTAAAACCCTTTTAGTCCATGAGATAACATTTGTAAAGTCTATTTTTAAGATCGCCTATGATCTCCGGTCTTTAGTGACTTTATGTTTTTAGTCCCAAGCTATGAAAATTGATAGATATAGTTTCAAAGTTTTAAAATTTGGACACTTTTGGTCTTCTAAGAAAATTTTCAACCTAACTCCGATTTGAGTGGGAATTTTTTTTAGAGTCAAACCGGAAAAAGTATTCAAATTTTAATATTCTGAGACTACATCTGTCAATTGTCATAGTTTGAAAAACTAAAAATGACAAACATCAAAGAAAGAGGACTATAGGTGAAATTAATCTTTTTCTTTAAGACATCTGGTGCTACAAAAATGTACTTTTAATTAATTATCTTTCAAATTTAAAATAGTTATTTTTAATTTGATAGGAAGCATCAAAATAGTCTCTTTGAAGCATCAAATTGAGTGTGACATTCGATATATACTACCAAAAAATAGTCAATTTTCAATGAGAATTTTGATATATAATACTCACTCTATATCAAATTTTTTATGAATTCCCAACAAATTGCTGATGCATGCAGTACAACTTTGGGGGAGGGGGGCTGTTCCAAAATGCAGAAGGTTGGTGGGTTAGAGGTTTAATTTCAAAGTGAAGATTAGACTGGCAAACAACTTTACATTTGGGGGGGTTGCAATTAAAGGCCTACTAATGGCCTGGTGAAATAGCCACATTAATATATTGGTTTAAACATAAGCATGCATGATGGTGGGGATGGACTTCACTATGGCCATGACTTATTAATTCAAAGAACTTTGTACCACAAGCCACCAAATTAAAAAGGTAATCCCAATTCTTATCTTTTGTTGGGAACATCCGAAGTGGGTTGCTTGGTTTAATATGATGCGTTCTTCATTAGCTTTAACATCTCATCTATCAGACTATCACATACATACATAAATTATATAAGTAATGGCACTGCCTTTTGGTCATTAAGATAATAACAAGTTATAAATTTTCCATCCCAATCCCTAGGGTGCCATTATATTTCTTAGGTTTTGGAAGGACCAAACCATCTGCTTGGTTCACGAAATGAATTTTAATGAAATAAGAATATTATTTTATGGGGAATGAAATAGGTAAGAAATAAAATAGGATTTGTATTCTGTTGTTTGGTTCACTTAAGGAATAACTAGACTTTAGGAATGTTATTCCAATGGTTGGTTTAAGGATTATAAACGGAATATATATTTAAAAGACATAAATACCCATTTACAAAATATATACTAATAATAATAATATTATTATTATTATTAAATTTAGAAAAATACATGTTGAGGAGCTTGAACTTGAAAGAGATGTGTACTGTTGATTGAGAGTGTTGTGATATGGAAAAAGAAAAAACTATGCAAGTTTTAGGTTTTATTGGGGGTGAAGTAGGAAATAAGAAAATTGAGCTATTGTTGAGAACTCAGGAATAGTTTAATGTCCGGAGGAGTAATAACTATTCTTTTTTTTTCCTTACAAGGGGAATAACTCACTCCGAAAATATTGTCATGGGAATAAAAGTACATACATTATTACCAAACAAAGGAATAGGCATATTCCCAGAAACACTACTACATTCCACGCCTATTCCACGAACCAAAAGTGTTGTTAATGTATTAGCTTATTTTGAATTGATCAATCAGTTAGTTAAATAATGTCTTGGGGTTCATTTCTTTTCTTTTACATACGAGAAAAGTCTTAAGAAAAATAAAAATATGAATATGGACCAATTTACACCAATAATGTAAACAAACATCCTATCCAAAATGCCTGTGAAAGATTGCCAAAGTAATGTATTCTATAGAGTATAGATGATTATGATGCGTTACCATATAATTTGTAGAAGAGTTAGTTTCTTTATAGATATGTTAAATAGTGCAAGTCTTATTGTTTAGTGATAGTGAAATATCCTTTCCAGGGAGTTGTACAAAACGAATTCGACTATCCAGACAAGTGTTTTGTGAAGGGGATCTATATTTTCGACGGGTCGCCATTGAAGGCCGTTCCTGAAGCTGCTGCAAAACATGAGCAAGACGCTGGGAATCAACATCACGAGCTTTACTTGCTTGACCACTGGGCCTGATATCTTGAAGCAGACTGGTGTTACTGATATAAACAAGTGGAATTGCCTTTGGATCACCATTGCTCTAAGCTTCTTCTTCAGGTTGATGTTCTATTTTGCTTTGTTGATTGGGAGCAAGAACAAGAGGAGGTGAATTGAAGCATATCACCCCAGGGGGAAGTCTCATCTAATCAAACATTTATTGAAGATCATCATTTCTTGGAACAAAAATTTGGAAATTATATATATATATATATATATATATATATATATATATATATATATATATATATATATATATATATATATTCCTGTTTTCTTTCTTTGTTTCGATGGGGTCTTCTTGGTTTCAAATGAAAAATTAGGGATTCGGTTCTCCATTTTAGCTCCGAAAGATATACATAAGTGTCAACGGACTCAAATGACGAAAATATCCCTGTGTCAAACAGAGATTTAACATCAAATCTAACAGAGAATTACTTTAAGTAACATTTTCGTAGTTAAAAAAAAAGTAAATTGAGTAAAAAATTAATCAGAGGACTTTTACAAAGAAATCACACTAATCAAGGGCCCTAGCTGGTATAATCTCTTTTCACAATCTTAACTAAACACACACAATCAGCTTGGTTGGCGTGAGTGGCCACACTCTTGTTCCTTAAGGGAGGTCGGGAGTTTGAACCCCATTTCATATGGAAAAATCAATCTGACTAGCACTTTGCCCCTTAATTTGACCGGTCCAGTACGAACGGGGATTAGTCTGAATATAGTATGGGCTTAAAGATTCCTCATAGGCACCTACAATTACGGCATGCTCATGACACCTCGTAGTCTGACAGGAAAAAAAAAAAAAAAAACTAAACACACAATTTAATGTTACATTCTTGTAATCTTACATCATCTTTTATAAGGTATTCCTATAACTTAGAGAGTTTAATTCATGAAACCTGAGACTATCTTTTAAATTACCTTGTGTTCTTAGTTGAGAATTTAGGATTATGGGAATTGATGGGGATTATCTCCCTTATCTCCCCTTAACCGTTGTACGGTGGCTGGTCCAAGGCCTTAGGTGCCTGGAAAGCGCGACCCGACTCGCATCAATCGGATCTCCTATTCTACCTGATCTAATCGCTCGTCGGGTGCCTCTATTAAGAAAACACGCAGTTCCCCTAGTGAGTGATGCGCGGTCGACCTAATGATCAAACCCCGCAATGGGCGTGTTCCCTTAGAAATATTGCAGCACGTGTGCGCAACCCCTTTGGCCCCGGCTTAGACCTATGCATGGAATCCACGTGCCCTACATGCCGAGAGCCCGAAACCTGCTCCCTCTCCATTGTTATAAATAACGCATTTATTACAGAGAGAGGGGACTTGGGAACTACTTAAGAACCAGTGTTGCTAGCTCGGAGACCACCGACCTATTATCAAGCGTCCCAAGCTCGTGAGCTTAAACCAACAAGCAGACTATGTTGAAGATCCGATCCGTGAACGGACCACAGTACCATAAATTGTAGTCAGTACCATCCGTATATACTACATTAGGAATATAACATTAACATATTTACTATTTAGTTAAAGTTATTGATAGTACTAACTCCCGCGTATGTAGAATGTATGTACGGTATGTAATATGTATGAACAAGGGAGAGAAAATAAAAGAAAATAACTCAAAGGGATCTTTTATTCATAATTGTGTGTTTGTAGAGAGAGGGGAGAGTGTTTAGAGAGAGAGAGAGAGAGAGAGAGAGAGAGAGAGTGAAGGAAAGGAAGGGGAGGAACCCCAAAATGAAGGGTCAAATGCCCTTATATAGGTGCAACCAATGCGGGGTTTGACCCGACCCAAATAGGAGCACAGAGCGTACGTGGAGTCTGAACACGGGTATATTCCCCATCAGTTATATTTTAAGTTATTATGCATAATTTTCTTAAATGCCCTAAATATAAATAATTTATTATTATTTTTCCTGATCTCATTTTATGCTCTGATTCGTTTAACGAGATTTAAATGTAGCTATTTTTAATTAGTATTAGAATATAAAATTTATATATTTAAAAACTATATTAAAAGTACTATTAAATATAAAACATAAATTTAAAAATAATTTAAAATATTAAAGCAAATAAGTAAAAAGTAAAGAGTTGATTTGATCAATAAATAATAAACATGACAGGTAAAACGGGACAAAAGATGTATATAATATATAATTGGTAATGACATCATTAGAATATTAAAAATATAATAACATAAGAATACTTAAGGAGGCGGAGATAATCACATAATTTGAACCAAACAAAGTTATATAATAGTACTATATCTAAATAATGTTACATAATTTGAACTAAACACACCCTAAATGTTACCTAACATATAGTAATCTAAAATTAATATGATGATTAATTGATTATATAACTTCACATTAATATACCTACATTAACTAGGTAATGTTAGATAACTATGAACTAAACACTTTCTCATAAATTAAATGCTCACTAAAAAAGTTGATGTAATATTGTACGTTAAGTTAATTTAAAATAATAAATATTTATTACTTTCAAACTTAAATCTTATAATAAAAAAATCAACGAATTATGTCACTCTAAAATCTCATATATCAAATTTTTTTTTTTTATAATTTGAGATATTAAAAATATGCTAATTTATATACAAAACACTCCTTAAATTATCAATTCAATTACCTTTCATTTTCAACCCCATCATAAAAAGTGAATCGAAAAAACCCCAAACAAAATAATAATAATAATAATAATGAAATAAAATTTTTTAAAAAATAAAAAAATAAGTCACATCGCATGAAATAAAAAAGTCAAATCCCCCACGCCACTTCCCAAAATTCAGTCAACTAAAAACTTTTACTGACACGAGGGTTGTGGCACTTTTTGGTTTTTTATTTTTTATATATTTTTTAATTAAAAAAATTTGGAAGTAAATTGAGACAGTCCAGTCACACTCCACATCTCACCGCATCCTAGTTCTGATGGGTGATGTTATCAAAGCTCCGTCCTCCCCTGCCCGATCTGCCCGTCGCTGACCGCTATCGCTTTCCCCTTCGCTCTCTCTCTCTCTCTAATCGAAGTACCACGTACATCTCTTTCCTTTTGCCGGCTGCGAGCCCTCACGACATCATCTTTTTCGCTTAAAATATACAATAATCTTTATATTTGTTTTGTGTGTGTGTATATACGCGATATATATACATATATATACGTATAATCTCGCGTTCTCTCTCTCTCTCTCTCTCGGGACACCGTTTTCTCTCTCTAAAAAGTTCGTTCTCAATTTCGAAGGTTCGGTCTCGCTCTCCCTCTCTCTCTTTCTCTCTGCGTGTCTTTTCCTGTGTGTATATGTAGCTTAAAGTGTATGCCTTGATATGTATGCGGATGTGTGTGTGTCTGAATTAATTGATTGGATCTGGGTTTTCATTGGTGCAGATCGGTGAATTGGAGGCGTGGAGTTGGGGTTGAGTGGGGGCTAGGGTTTCTGATAAATTGTGGGCGATAGGGTTTTCACGAGGTCTGAGTTCTGGAGATTTTAGGGATTTTTCGAGGCGAGGAAGAATTGGGGGACTTTCTAGGGTTTTTGCTTAGAAATTGGGGAATTGATGGTTCAGGGTGAGTGGGTAAGAGTAGGCAGTGGAGAAAAAATTGGGGAAAATGCGAGGGAATTTTTATTATGCATGGGAGGGAGCTGCGGGGAGGTGAGTTTTGTGAACGGAGGAGGTTCGGTCAGCACATGCCGGCGACGACAACCAGGACAGTAGTCGCCGGTGATTCCTGTCTTACTTCTGTTACTGCTGATTCTTTCTGCAAGGTACTACCTTGGTGGGTTTTTTCAGTTTTCCTGAATTCCTAACTAACCTTTCTTCTTCTGGGTGTAGAAATGATTAGGTGATTCAACATGCCCTGCAGGGATAGTTTTATTCAAATATTTTCCTGCCCTTTTAGATATTCCAGTTTTTGCGGGCAATTGAATGGTACTTGCTGTATTTAAAGCTCAAGTGTTGGATTGTTTGTTTTCTTATTTTGCTGAATTATATTGTAGTACTGCTTGGTTGATGCACTTATTGGTGAATTTGAAGTTCATTTGTTTCTTTTTTCACCCTGGCAACCAATGTTGTTTTGGTAACTCTAGCCTTGGGTTTTATTCAACTGCTTGCTGCATTTGAGTTAGTGAAAGTGGTAAATGCCCTTCGATGATTTGATTCTCAGTGATTTTTCAAGATACATAGCATCATAGCTTACAGTTTCTTAAACTTTTTCTTTTAATTGTATGGTATGATCAGTAATTTTGTGCCTCAAACTTTTTTTTTTTTTTTCCTTCTTATTGTAGCATGGGTTTTAAGTTGTCTGTTTGCACTGCTTAAGTTCTTTTTAACCGGAATAACTGCATGATGTCTTCATTTATTTTTTAGCATACATGGTCTTTGGTTAATTCCTTTATTAGTGGGACATGCTTTGAGTTGTGGCTATTTGTACCTGACTATAACTTTCTTGTGGCTCATGATTTTTATGGAAGCTGGCAAAAGCATAGAAGTTACATAGTAGTTATATTATGCAACATGAGTTTTGTCATGACTACATATTTATTGTCTAAAAAATCTTCTTTAATAACTTTCTAGTTACTAATTTATATTGCCTGACATCCCATGACTAAAATGCCCCCTTTTTGGGAAGATGGGTGAGATTGGATGGTAGTGTTAGCTCTGCTTACTGATTTGTTTGAGCATGTGTTATAACTTTATACTCTTCATGCTTATGTTTTATATATATATGTGTGTGTGTGTGTGTGTGTATGCTAAATTTTGGATATAGTGTATTTAGCATTTCTGATGCTATGTATTGCACTTTCACTTTAGAAGCCCTTTCTGCAATTGATTTTAGAGGAAATATACAAGAATAGGAAAATTGATTTGCTGACTTCACTTCATTTAATTTTTCAAGTCTTTCCAATTAAATTCTATGCTTTTTGTAGAGAGCATACTATATGGAGAAATGCCATTGATATTCAATTAATTTCTTTTTTAAGAATTTCTATATACTCTGTATTTAAATATAACTAAACTTGTTGTGTATATCTGATGGTGATTTGATTCTGTTCTCTTTATTTTGTTACCTTTCTCCCATACAGGATGGCCGCAAAATTAGTGTTGGTGATTGTGCTCTTTTCAAGCCGCCACATGATTCCCCACCTTTCATTGGAATAATTCGTCGGTTGACATCAAGAAACGATAATATCTTGGATTTGAGTGTTAATTGGCTTTATCGACCGGCTGAATTGAAGCTTGGCAAAGGCATACTGCCTGAAGCTGCGCCAAACGAAATTTTCTATTCTTTTCATAGGGATGAGATTCCTGCTGCATCCTTACTCCATCCGTGTAAAGTTGCCTTCCTTCCTAAAGTTGTTGAACTTCCAACAGGGATATCTTCATTTGTTTGCCGGCGAGTTTATGACATTGACAACAAGTGTTTATGGTGGCTAACTGATCAAGATTATATTAATGTTAGTTATCTTTGCCTGAAAGCTCAGCTTTCCTCAACTTAAGTATCTAGCTTGTTTGAATTTGTGAGCAGAAGATATGCTAAGGGAAGAAAGGGATCCAACCTGTTGATGGGTATGGGTTGGGAGGATTCAGAAGGGATGAGTGAAAAGGAAGAGAACCACAAATTCTTGTATTTCTGCTGCTTTTTGATAATTGAGATTGTATGGGAGTGAGGGGTAGATGGAGAGTGATGGATTTTAGTGTTACCCACTTTGTTAGTGATAGTTCTCTACTTCTCTTTCTTGTTTTGTTTGACTCTTCTTTATTTGTTTATACCTGTGCTTGCAGGAGCGACAAGAAGAAGTAGATCAACTGTTACAAAAGACTCGACAGGAGATGCATGCATCGTTACAGCCTGGTGGCCGTTCTCCAAAACCAACCAGTGTTCCAATGTCCACATCACATTCAAAGCCTGGGTCAGATAATATGCAAAATAGTGTAACATCATTTTCTTCACAAGTTAAGGGAAAGAGAAGAGACAGGGGAGATCAGGGTCCTGACCAGGTTAAACGAGAACGCTCTATAAAATTAGAAGATAGTGATTCTGGTCTGTACAAGACAGAAGGTGTGTTAAAATCTGAAATTTCAAAAATAACAGAGAGAGGAGGGCTTGTAGATTTTGAGGGAGTTGAGAAACTTGTTCAACTTATGCAACCTGATAGAGTGGAGAGAAAAATGGATTTGATAAGTCGATCCTTACTTGCTGGTGTGGTAGCTGCCACAGATAAGTTTGACTGTCTTAACCGATTTGTGCAGCTAAGGGGTTTGCTTGTATTGGATGAGTGGCTTCAAGATGTTCATAAAGGAAGAGTTGGTGATGGTAATCCAAAGGATGGTGATAAATATGCGGAGGAATTTCTTCTAGTTTTGCTTCGTGCACTTGATAAGCTTCCTGTGAATCTTCAAGCACTGCAAATGTGCAACATTGGAAAGTCTGTTAATCATTTGCGCTCACATAAAAATATGGACATCCAAAAAAAAGCACGGAGTTTAGTTGACACTTGGAAGAAACGTGTTGAGGCTGAAATGAATATGATTGATTCTAAGTCTGGGTCTACTCAAGCTGTTGCATGGCCTTCTAAGTCTCGCCTTCCTGAGGCTTCTCATAGTGGGAACAAAAATCCCAGTGGGTCCAATGATGGCACTACAAAGAGCTCTGTTCCACTGGTTTCCGCATCAAAAACTGGTTCAATAAAGCCTTTGCAAGGGGAATCTTTTCTGAAGTCTGCATCATCATCTCCCGGACCATTGAGATCTGCTTCATCACCTGCACCCGGAAAAGATAGTCAGACCAGACTTTCAATTTCTGGTGCGTCTGAGGTTCCACTAATAAGGGAGGATAAGAGCAGCAGTCCTAATCAGTCTCATAATCATGGTCAATCTCTCTCAGTAAAAGAAGATGCAAGGAGTTATACTGCAGTGTCAACAAGTAACTCTAAGATCTCAAATAGCAGCTCTCGCCACCGCAAGTCAGTTAATGGCTTTCCTGGGGCGTCAGTATCTGGAGGCCAGAAAGAAAGTGCTGCAGTGAGAGGTACTTCAGTGCACAAGAATTCTATCCCTGAAAAGTTATCTCAGTCTGCACAACTAGGTGAAAAAACTGTTGAAGTGCCAGTTGTGGAAGGAAGTAGTCACAAGTTGATTGTTAAGATACCAAATAGGGGTCGCAGTCCTACACAGACAGTGAGTGCAGGTTCTTATGAGGACCCAAACATTATGAATAGCCAAGTTTCTTCTCCTGCACTTTACATTATAAATAGCCAAGCTTCTTCTCCTGCACTTTCAGAGAAACATGATCAATTTGATCGAAGTGTAAAGGAAAAGAATGATGCATGTCGATCTAATGCTGCTTCCGATGTGAATTCAGAATCCTGGCATAGTAATGATTTCAAAGATATATTGACTGGTTCTGATGAGGGTGATGGATCACCTGCAGCGCACCCTGATGAAGGGCGCAGTAAGACTGTTGATGATGGGAAACCAATGGAAGTCTCAAAGATTACTTCTTCAACATCTGGAACTGAATTGAAGTCTGGCAAACTGCACGAAGCTTCTTTCAGCTCCATGAATGCGTTGGTTGAAAGTTGTGCAAAGTATTCTGAAGCAAATGCATCAATGTCAATTGGTGATGCTGTTGGCATGAACCTGCTTGCCAGTGTGGCTACTGAAGAAATGTCAAAAACTGATATGACTTCACCTTCTGCTTCACAAAGAAATTCTCCTGCTGATGAAGCTTGTATGTCTGATGATTCTAGATCTAAGTCACCACTTTTTGATAGCTTTCCAAGTGAATGTAACCAGAGAAAAGATAATCTTGATGACAATAATGAGAAAAAGGTTGAAGTTGGTAGTTCATGGACAGCAGAAAAGTTACATCTGAATAGAAGTGCTATTTCTGAGACATCTGGAGATATAAAACCCAATGTGTCTACTGAAGCTAATACAACTGGGGAATGTGATAAACATATTAGCTCACTCTGCATTGATTCAAAGGTAGCTGCAGGGTCTAGTTTGGAGATGAATGAGAGGACAGTTGAGAGAGACAAATCATCTTCATCACCTTCAAGTGGAGTAAGTAAGGGAAATGATGGTGAACTTAACAAAAAATCTCAGGAGAGAAGGGCAATTCCTAGTGGTGGTGGTTCACTACAGGAAGAAGCTAATGATACCAAACTGTGTGATAATGATACTTCAATGACAGAGGACAATCTGTGTAAAGCACCAACATCCATGGATGACCAAAAGAGGTTGGGTGAAGGTTTGTCTTCAAATTCATCATTTGAAGGTGACAGGAAAAGTAACGTCACTACCTGTGCAGGCGTGAATCCTTGTGTGGCAACTATGAACAGTGAAGTGATGGAGAAACTTGAAAAGGAGGAGATGTTACCTGCTTCCTCTAGTAGAGACCTGATTGCACATAAAGTATGTGGGGCTGAAGACACAAAGAATGATAATGTTAATCAGTCTGAAAGGCAAATATCTGATCAAGGTGGTGGTACTCCAGTTCCAGATGCTAAAGCTTTAGGTAATGCTGATTCAGCTTTTACTGATAAGAAGGAACACAATGAGGGCAATGTTGAAGCTCGGGACATTCGGCTGCAATATTCTGGTGGGTCATTATCTCAAAAAGAGATAGCTGGAATTGCTAGCCTAGAAGTGGAGAAGCATATGGATTCAAGGGAATCCAAATTTTGCAGTGCTTTACTTGACAAAACAAGTGATCCTGTGCGCACCATTGTGGAGACTTCTAGTGTGTCTGCTGCTTTATCTCCAGAAACATCATCCAAAATGAAATTTGATTTAAATGAAGGTTTCATTTCAGATGATGGGAAATATGGTGAGGTGGTTAGCACCACAACCCCTGGGTGTTCATCTACTGTTCATGTAATGAATCCATTACCTTTTCCTGTTACGTCAATGCCCAGTAGTGTTCCTGCCTCTATTACTGTGGCTGCTGCTGCCAAAGGCCCTTTTGTTCCACCAGAAGAGTTATTGAGATTCAAAGGGGAAATTGGATGGAAAGGTTCTGCTGCCACAAGTGCATTTCGACCTGCTGAACCCAGAAAAGTTCTTGATATGCCTCTGGGTTCTGTAGCCGTGTCTCATTCTGAAGCTTCCAGCAGTAAACACAACCGCCCTCTTTTAGATTTTGATCTGAATGTACCAGATGAAAGAGTTTTTGAGGAGATTCGAGATTCTGCTGCTGTGCTAGGTTCCATGTCTAACCATACAAGCAATTATGGACTCAAAAAGGAAGCCTCAGATTCTCCATCTGTTCGTAGTTCTGGAGGGCTAGATCTTGATTTGAACAAGGTTGATGAGCCTAATGATGTGGGTCAGTGCTCCGTAAGCAGTGTTCATAGATTTGATGGACAAGTTGCGCCGATCAAACCATCACAGGGTGGAGCTTCTAGGGAGGTTAGGAGGGACTTTGATTTGAACAATGGGCCCGGTGTTGATGATGCCAGTATGGAACAATCTTTATTCCTACAAAATTTTTGGGGAAACATCAATTCCCACCCAGCTACATCTAGCCTCAGAATGAACAACCAAGACTTAGGGAGCTTTTCTTCTTGGGTTCCTCAAGGGAATCCTTATTCAACTGTGACACTTATGCCTGACCGTGGAGATCAATCATTTCCAATCCTTGCACCTGGTACACAACGTATCTTGGGTCATGCTCCTGCCGGTACTCCTTTCCCTCCTGATGTTTATCGAGGTTCGGTGTTGTCATCCTCCCCTGCAGTCCCTTTCCAATCTATGTTTCCCTTTGGTACAACTTTTCCCTTTGGCACAACTTTTCCTCTACCATCAGCCACATATTCTGTTGGATCTAACTCGTATATTGAATCCGCATCTGGTGGAAGGCCTTTTGCACCACTAGTCAATTCACAGTTGTTGGGGCCTGTTAGTGCTGTTCCGTCACAATTCTCTAGGCCTTATATGGTTGGCCATCCAGATGGTACTAGTAATGGTGGTGCAGACAATAGGAAATGGGCCAGGCAAGGTTTGGACCTTAATGCAGGTCCTGGAGCTGTAGATATTGAAGGAGGACAGGAATCTGTTCCATTGGCATCTAGGCAACATTCTGTTGTTGGCTCACAAGCACTAGCAGAGGAAAGTTCAAGGTTATACCCAATTCCTGGAGGTAGTATTATGAAGAGGAAGGAGCCTGATGGAGGCTGGGATAATGATAGCTTCAGGTACAAGCCGTCTTCATGGCAATAGAATGCAAAACTGCTGCTGTCTTGCTGACTTCTGGAGTTGCAGCAAGTAATATTTCTTTCCCATTCCACTGTGTTTCCATTTTAGTTTGCTAGATCTAGGTCAGTACTCAGTAGGGATCATTGTCTTATACATGTTTCAGTTGCTTGTCACTCATTTGTCTTGTAAAACAAATGAGCAAAGGCAATTATTGATCCTGGATACAATTACTGGCATTTTTATTGCTTGTAGTTGTGCTTTGTTTTGGGGTATTTCACCCTCTTTTAAATCTCAGTCAAACCCTAATGTTGACTATCACCAGTGTCTGAAATTACAAGTGGGTTTAATTTTCAAGAAACTCAAAATTTTGAGTTTTGCTTATTGTTTTTTTTTTTTTTAAAGAAAATTCTTATAAAAAATTTCTTAGGCATTTTAAAAATTATTTATTAAAATTGTTGTTTCTTACTCAAGGGGTTGGGGTGGTTAAGGGGTTTTGTTTTGTAGTGTTAGGGATTTTTATTTATTTATTTTTTTTAAAGTAATGCGGCTCTTTAACTAGCTCTGCTTGTTTTTATTGGTTCTTCAAGGATGGACATTTGCTAGCTCCTGGAAGCTGTATCCTGCAGTTTATCTCCAGTGGTGGGTGGGTAAGGTAAACGAGCAAATCTGGTGCATTCGCATTCCCATTCCCATTCCCACCACTTGTGTATCAGCCGGGGAGTATGAAAGTGGTATTTGAAGCACTTTGGTTGCCTATCTTTTCTGGTGGGTGCAGATCGGTTTTCCCTATGTAGATATTTAACTGTTGGAAAGCTTTGAATCTGTGATGTGATGGCCCAGCAGTGGAGATTAGTGGCCATAGTGGAATATATCACACAACACACCAAAAATATGATGCATGCTTGAAATCAGGTTGTTTCAGACATAGTCTCAAGTGGAAGCCCTCTTGTATGTATGCACTTGGTAATTATCATCTTAAGTTGATCCTTCCTTGGCTTTTTTTCTTTTGCTTTATTTTATTTTATTTTTTTCTTTTCTTTTGGGCCCATTATATATAAGCAGGGCAACACTGAATTTTGTTACAAAAGCCTTCTTGGTGTTGGCTGGCATGTTTAGTTTGGTATTGTTGCCATTGTAGCTTAAACCTCTAACTCTGGCTTTTCTCATTCATAGCCTCCCTCTTCATAAAACTTTTATTCAAGTACAATGTTGACAGTAAGTATTTCTTTCTTTCTTTCTTTCTTTTCTTTTCTATTCTATTCATTGTACAATGCCCTGAAAACTTGGGAATGTCTACTCTTGAGGAAATTTGGAGAATGCTCTGCTCTTCTCCTCTTGGACTGCGTTTGTTGCACTCACAGATCTTCAATCAAACATTTCCTTTTTTGTGTTTTGCATGAATGTTTGTTGAATCCATTTCAAGTTTCAGTCTTTGAGCCCAACTATTGTGCATTCAATTGTTATACCATGGGCCAGGTTCATATTGTATTGTGAACAAAATTATCTGTAGTTGACAATTTTTGTAAACAAATTGAAGGCACATCACATAGTAATTATAAACATATAACATGGTAACTACATACACATAAAGTGTTAACTACCGGTTGGTTTATGTTAGCAGTTAATGTAACGGTAGGGATAGAATCTGAAAGTTATTTTTAAATCAGATCTATAATGCAAGGTAGGTTTTGATCCATGGTGTAATTTGCCTCGTGCATTATTGTTTGGTTTTGAAAATATTTATATGGAATGGAATTTAAATTTTCCATAGAAAGGAATACAAATAAGTTTCATATATTACTTGGTTAGTACGAAAAAAAAGTTACCATGAATAATTAGTATTGAGGTTCCAAAGATCCATCCTTGAAGTGACTTTTTGGAATTATTTTTAGCAAATTTGAACAATTGAAGCAACATGAATGCATTTTCTCATCAACCAAATGGTAAAAAACAAAATTCTTACATTTGAAGAATTGAAACTCATAAATTTCTACTTTTACAAACCAATGGTCATTAGGGGTCATTTAGTTCTAGTCAATATTATAGATCTATCAACTTACCTACATATTCATTAAATTACTACCATAAGTCCATTGAAACAATATATTTGAAAGTGATTTATGAATTCACTCAACATATGGTAATCCAAATGACCAAAATACCCTACCCTAATCACAGTATTGCTTTTGATTCTTTTACCCAGAAGTAAAACAGTGACCAGAACTGGCATAGGTAAAAGATGGACATCCTGAAATTTTCAGCACAGAAGAGAAAGGCTTAAACATTCATTAGATGAGCTTTTAGCAATCAAGTTTCATGGACCTCATAGGTTGTATCTTCAGCTATGATATGATCTATCTATGTATATAATAAGCTGAAATAAATAATTAAAAACTGGTAGAAAATCGACAGGGTTGATGAATCATCACGCCAAGGCCTCTACACTGCAAACACAACGCCTCAATGGACGAGCTTTCGACCACACAGAATATTTCTGCAATTGAAGTTTGCCAAAGATCAAGATAGATGAGAACGCAAGCCTGATAAAGGCACCCAGAAACAAAAATTCTCAAACATATGGGGATTCAGTAAGGCACATGATTAAAGAGTTGAAGAACAAAGTTTCTTACACAAAACATCCTCGACGTGGCTTCTTCTTCTCACTTTGTTTCTGCGGTGGCTTGATAACAACCTTGATCGCAGCATCAAAAACCGCTTTCACATTCTGTAATGTACATACATTACATTGAAGCGGGCTCACTTTTAACATCAGTGTAGAAAGGAGAATGCAAAAGGCGTTGATATTTAACCAACCTGTTGAGTTTTAGAGCTGCATTCAATATAGTAGGCAGCACCAATTTGTTTGCGGAGCTCCTCTCCCTGAATAAGAATAAACTGTCATTGTCCTATTATTACATCTTAAAAATAAGATCTCGTAATTGTTCACGAATAAAATGAAGCTGGACCTGTGCAGTGGTCACGGGAACTAGTCCAGGATGATCCGCTAGGTAATGCTTATCCTCACGAAGATCTATTCAATCACCAAATAAAAGCATTAACTGCAGAATTCAGAAACAAAAAAAAAAAAAAAAAAAAAAAAGGATATCTACCATCCAAGTAAATACACAATTTTATTACTACCAACTACTGCAATCATACTCATGGTTGCAATAGGCGCTAGGCGCTAGTCAGGCGCCCGGGCAGCACCTAGGCGGAATCTAGGCGAGCGCCAAATAAATAGTGGGAGACTTGCAGTTCGGCAATTTTAATGAGGCTGTTTTCAACATTCAATCAAATAACACATCCAAATAAATGAAATAATGATAATTCATAAGTCATAACATCAAAATAATATTAAAAAATAAAAATACTCAAATACTTCAATCATCCTAAGATTCAAAGTATCAAACTAGTCTACGGACGGCTGGACCAGACGACATCAGAAGAAATTGACCGACTCAGCTGATTTCGCCGCCTAGGCGCCCGGCCGATTTTTGGGCACCTAATAGTGAAAGCGGAATGGCCTAGGGGCGCCTAGCGCCGCCTAGGCCGATTTTTACAACAGTATTCATACTATCACATAGGAAGAAACAATTTATGAAATGCGCTCCATCTCAACAAAAAGCCTAAGCTTATAGTTGGACTGCAGATTTATGTTTATATATTATATGCTCAACATGCCTTCTTCAGTTTCACAAGTTTGCCATTGTTGAGTCTCATTTTCAGTAGAAGTACCCCTAGATAGGCCTCGTAGTTACTTCAAAGTACGTCCTCCTCCATGGAGAATACCAAATAAAAACCAAAGTGCTCACAGTTGAAGCATATCCTCGATTACAAAATCACTAGAATTCCATATTAATGCCAAGAAGAAAAACCCTAGAAGTAGAGTGCGAGAATGGTAAACAATGCTGTCACAGCTTGATACACATACAAGAACAGTAAACGTAAGCGTCAACAGGGTGCCAAATGATAATGAAAGCTAAACGTTTCCTTCTTCACATACCTAGTTTCGTGCCAACCAGAACCACTGGAGTACCGGGAGCAAAATGTTGAAGTTCGGGGATCCACTGACCAAAAAGTTGTCTATCAGCAATTTATAGGCCAGACACCATTGGACCGAAAAAAAGAAGAAAAAAACATGAGCATAATTTCCATAAATTTGCACCTTTTTGAGTATGTTTTCATAGCTTGCACGACTGACTAATGAAAACGCTAGAACAAACACGTCGGCTCCTCGATAGCTCAAGGGCCTCAATCTGTTGTAATCTTCTTGTCCTAGTAATCAACAGGATCAAAAAGCAAAAGCTATAAATTTACTCTCACTTCCATATATATCTTACTTTATAAGCGGCTAGAACATCATTGTTACAAGATCTTGCCGTTAAATTTGCTGAAGAAGAAAAGGAAATTGAACTGTACTTCATCGCAAAACATAACCTTACCAGCAGTATCCCAAAGTCCTAGGTTGACTGTAGTTCCTTCAGCTACTACATTTGCACTGAAGTTATCAAATACAGTTGGAATATAGTCCTGATTTCAACCAAAAAAAAAAAAAAAAAAACCCACAAAGACTGAACAATTAGGACTCTTGGGAAGAACTCAAGAAAACAGCTTGACTATTCTACATGAATTATTAATAATTTAGTCAATTTCAAATTTCTCTTCTTTCTTTTTCTTATTCTTTCCTCATTTCTTGGGGAAAGTCCTGAGAACCTATTCTCTTCATACCATGATCCAAAATCAGCATTCCAAGAATATGTACATAATATAATAGGAATTTTATACAAGAGAATGAGGGAAAGAAGTATTGATTCTTCCCCTATAAATTAAAGAGAAACAGAAAAAGCTGCAAACCCACAAACATAAAGGCATCATCATTGTATAAGACAATAAGTCCAGACAGAAATAGGCCTATTTTAGAATCATAAAACAAGAATAAATGGGAAATTGGCATGGATCAAGAAAAGTTCAGAAAACAAAGAGAAGAGGAAAGAAAGTGAGGCTCACAGTGGGGAATTTGTTACTGGTGTAGCAAATAAGCATACAAGTCTTGCCAACAGCCCCATCACCAACAGTCACACATTTGATGAACCTTGAAGCACTTGCAGCCATTGAACATCAAGAAGGAACCTTAACAAGAAAAATATCCCAACACCCAGAAAAAATCAACAATTAAAAAGTGAGAATTTTGGGTGCTATGAAGGAGGGTTTGAGAGAGAGAGAGAGAGAGGAGAAGAATATAGTGAGAAAGTAGAATCAGTGTAGAAGCATAGATCACATGATTCCTACTCATTCACCCTCTTTGCCACTGTAGCAAAGCTGTCATCTTTCTACCAAGTATCCTTTCCGGATTGGCAAATTAAAAATTGGATCTTGAATTTCTACTATGATCTTTGCTTCTAATTGGTAGGTATATATAAATTATATAGCTTGTAACAAAACAAAAAAAAAAAAAAACCCAGTAATCCTTTGGTTTAGCAGAGATAGTGAGACAGCTTGAAATTGATATAGCCCCGGAATTCAGGGGGTCTCTCTCTCTCTCTCTCTCTTCCCTTGTAATCTTGTATGGAGAGTCTTTGCTTTATTGAATGAGTTGGACTTAGCCCGTGAAGGCCTGATGTCTTTTGGTGCGCGTGAGAAGTGTTTTCTACCCTCATCCCTATAATTTTTATTCATTTTGCAAATGCCAATCATAATATTTGATTCCCATCCATTCATCAAATTGATGAATATAATATATATTTGGAAAAGTATATTTCACATCTTCATTAAATCATATTTCTTTCTTACTCATAACAACTGTACTGTAATTTTTATTTATTTTTTAATAAAATTTACTTTCCCAAAATTACTACATACGGAGTAATATTTAGGCAAATTATTCAGTGGATCCGTGTCCACTTTATTACACTTTACATATTGAATGTTTACAATTTTATAAAAGGTAAATTGTGAATATTAAGTATGTAAATTATAAACATAGTGAATATTTAGGGTTGTGGTTCAACCTTTTGGAAGAATTATAAACATTTAGTATGTAAATTGTGTATTTTGAATTCGGATTCATCTTACAATGTGGACCCTGGTCCTTGGTATAACGACTCAAATATTTACTATTTCTATATTCGTCTTTTAAAGAATAATTCACATAATAATTAAATACAAAAAGCATTCAATAGAATAATAACACTTGTAGTGAATATATTACAGCACATTTGGTTCACGGAATAAATTTTGAGGGAATATAAATGTTATTCCATAAGGAATGAAATAGATACGAAATAAAATAAGAATTGTATTCTATTGTTTTGTTCGCGAGTTAATTCCATCAAAGGTTCCTTGTCTTTGCTGTCATTTCCAAATTTAGTCCTAGACTATCGTTTTTGTCATTTAACATCCCATACTATTATTTTTTGGACACTTTTGGTCCTTCTCATGAATTTTCCTAATTTTAGTAAGGGCATTTTTGTCTCTACATATTTTCTTTGTTATTTTCAGGTTTCAACTGGTTTAATTGGTTTGGGACTTCATTAAAAATCGGTTGAAAAGTATGGTTACTATAAATCAAAGGTTACCTAAAGTTCTATACCAATTAAACCGGTTGTAACCGAAAAAATAACAAAAGAAAAATATAAAAAGACAAAAATGCCCTTATTAAAAGAAGAAAAAGTTATGAGAATGACTAAAAGTGTCCAAAAAATAGTCTGGGACGTTTAATGGCAAACACGATAGCCTGGGACTAAATTTGGAATTGTCACCAACAATGTTTAAAAAATCGCTAGGCGCCTAGGAGGCCAACCGCCTAGGCGTGATTTTTGCAACACTGGTCACCAAAGATAAGGGACCTCTGGTGGAATTACCCCTTTAGTTCGCTAAAAGAATAGACTTTAGGGATTGTATTAGTGTTTGGTTGGTTAAAGAAATAGAAATGGAATAGGTTTTTAAAAGACATAAATACATGTATACAAAATATAATAATATATATATATATATATATATATATATATATATATATATATATATATATATATATATATAGAGTAAGGTTCAAGTGCGGCGGTGCGACGTCACCAATAGTTCAACAAAACACCATCAACGTTAGGAAAATGCACCACAAAAACACACACAAATTAAGTACGCATCACAAAAAACACACCATTAGGTGTGAGTAAAAACACCATATAGTGTTCGAAGATAAACCATTGGGGTGCGGTGAGTTATATGGTGTATTTTTTTTGGGTCTGTTGTGTATTTTTTGGTGTTTTTTTTTATTTCATTGTAGTGTGTTTTTCTTACATTGTTGGTGTATTCTGAAATTCCGCCGCACCTAAGGATATCGCCGCATTTGAACTTTTTCATATATATATATATATATATATATATATATATATATATATATATATATATATATATATATATATATATCTAAAAACATAATAACATAATATGTGCCAATACAAGTTATGTCCTTGATTTTTGTCCCTTTTTTATATGCTAATAAATATATACATTTTTCTTTAATTGTTGTACATTTCATTTGTATGGAAATCACCCTTACACCGTTATAACACCGTTAGTATTTAATATATCCACCAATATTACCATACACTTACATCATCTATCATATCTTTTTCCTATTTTTAATTACCATTTTATTAAAATTATCATACAACAATTAATTTAATTATAAATTATATTCTAATTAAATATTTATATGAATGTTAAATTATATATGTGTGTGCGTGTGTGTGTATATATATATATATATATATATATATATATATATATATATATATATATATAATATGTATGTATATTATTTGTGTATACATATCAATATATCATATATGTGGGTGTTAGCTTAGTATTATTGGTAAATTATTATTATATAAAAATATAATTTTTCTTTTGTTTTTTATTTTTTGTTTGTTTTGATGACTATATTATTCAAATATATGATAATTCAAAAGTATCATCACTTTAAGGAATTGCGAAACATAATTTTAACTAATTTTTTAAATTTTGTTACTTAACAATATTTTAATATTGGGCATAGGTACAAAATGCTAGTATATATATAAAGCATGTGCCTATAGGGTAATTTTGGTATTGTAATACAAAATCTGTTTCAGAGAGCATGAGAATAGCTAATAGCACACTCCCCTATGAAGAGCTATTCCTCCTACAAAGGGAATATCTCACTCCTATGAATGCTATTCTCAACAAAAATTGGTCAAAACAAACAATGGAATAAGTCTATTCCTAGGAATGTTATTCCATTCATGGCCTATATTCCATGAACCAAACATATTTTTAGTGAGTATTTTTTGTAGGACAATCTAATGTAGCATTATTCAAACTTAAAAGAGCAAATACCAATTTTGGTCCTATAAGTATTTTAAAAAATGACAGTTTTGGTCTACGTGTTTAATTACTACCCATTTTCATCTACAACTATGAAACAACATAATGCTGTTGCTGGGAATCGAAACTGATTTTTTTTTAAGTGGGACGCGTGTTTTTAGTTAAAACGATGTCGTTTTTGCAACCGTGTGCACCATGCATGGTGCACACGGATGCACAACATAATTTGCCATGATTTTCGTGCCAAAATTGATCACGTTGGTTACCTCTCCGGCTAAAACATAACGAATTGTGTAATTTATAAGGACATTTTCGTTTATTCATATAGGAATAAAGTTCGGTTGCCTAATTGCATTTTTTTTTTTTTCATTCAGTGGTCTAATTGCATTTTCAAGTTAAGTCCAGTGACCAATTTGAACCTTATTCCATTCATATATAATATGTCAATTCCATTAATATATGAATTTCCATCCAAAATATGTCAGAGCATTTTTACTCCATTATTGCTACCATGTTCGGGCGAGGGTCTTTAAATTCAATCTCTAATCCTCTTGTGATTAAGATATATATGATAATTGGTTGAAATATATAGGCATTATTAGTTCGAACATTTTGGATAGTGCTTTGCCTTATTGTTCATCGGAGTAAGCAAGAGGGTGATGTAGGTTTTGACTTTTGATGATATGTATGATGATATTGGAGGTTGGATGCATGGGACTATCGTCTCCAGGTGGTGGTTATAAACCATCTTTTTCATTTAGTCAATGAAAAAAGAAGAATAGAGGAAAAGTTTAATTTGTTAGTAGTTACCTCCAAAATATTTAATTAATGAGTTAATACTCAAAATGTCATTGAGTATAGTGATTTTTCTCAATTTCATCCTAAACGATTTTGATGATTTAATGTAGTATAAGACTTTTGTGTTTTTTCTTTAATTTAGTCATCTGTTTGTTATTCCATCAAATTGGTGTTAAATAAATGGACAATTTAGTAATTTCAATATTAGTCTCTCTATGATCTTTATTCTCATACTTGTGAGTAATTCGTAAAATAAGGAGATATTTCGCACTTCGCAAGTCTGAGAGTAAAGAGAGACCAATGTTGAGTTTATTAAATTGTCCCTTTATTTAACACCAATTTGACAGAATAACTAACGGGAGATTAAATTGAGCAAAAATATAAAAGTCTGGGGCTATATTAGGTCACCAAAGTCGTTTAGGACGAATTACAAAAAATCACTATAATCGATGACCATTTTTGGTATTAAGTATTAACTCTTCAATTAATGATTTATTTATATATAGGAAAAATTGTAAGTTATGCCCCTCCATAATATGTAAATTATTAATGTCACTCCTGAATTATTAGTGGTGTAAATGTTGCCCCTCAATTTTAAACGGTACATATATTGCCCCTACCGTACCATACGCGATGAGAAATATATGTACCTTTTTGAAAATTGAGGTGTAACATTTAGATGCGTCAAGTGGACCAAGATGGCAAAATTATTTGTAAATGGTTGATTTTTTTTTTTTTTTTTTTTTTTTTTTGAATGAGAAGGGAAATCCTATCTAGAATCCTTTCGAATTGATTAATTTTATTATACCTAAAAACGGACTTTTTATTTAGGAGTTTTAAATAATTTTAGGACCAAATATATATAGTACCCAGACTTAAGTTGCATTTGAGAAAATGATAAGACTAAAATGATTAAAAGGTAATAATAAGATTGAAATTGTTGAGTTACTCCAATCTCATAAGCTTCTCATGATAATTTTCTAATCTAATTATACTACAACTAAACTCCTATTCATCCCATTAATCTCTCTAAGATTTATCATAATCAATTGGTTAAAATTTTAGAGTATTTTTTTAAAATTGAAGAATTGTTAAATCGATGAGTATGTTGTTATGTAATTGAAAAATATAATTTGTGAATAGTAGTTATCACTAATTTATATCCTTTTTTCACACAAAATAACCTAATTTTTTTTAAAAAATATTATATGCATTTTCTCAAAAAAAAAAAAAAATGGTGTCCTTGCTAGGTTTAAATTTTCCTCTTCTTTAAGAATAAAAATCCATTGCTTGTAAGGCATACGAAATTCTTTTTATTTAATAATATGTTTTGTTTTTATGGTGAACGAGGGAATTGTGTATTTATGTGGGGCAGTGACCCAAGCAAAATTTTCAATTCATTATTCAAAAATTAAATACTTGACTTTTTTTTTGA